GATCAACAAGATAATTAAAACCTAGACAGTATATATACTAGTACGGTGCCCGTGCGATGCACGGGAGCATTTACTATTGTAACACCCCACTTTTATTTGCCGAAAATCAGAATAAATTTTTCAAATTTATTTCAATAAACACTTGAGGCGTTACTCATTTTCAAACGGTTTATCATTACTTAACAAAATTTTCAATACTCAATCATTCATCAATACTTAAACAATCATCAATACTCAATTATCAATACTCAAATTCACAATCCAATAATCAAATCATCCTAGGGAGTACACTCCCTATCAATAATCCAGTAATCAATAATAAAGAAATCAGTAATAGCAATATTCAGTTCTAGGCGGAAGCAATATCAATTATTAACACCACCAGTCGCATCCCTCCCGCCGTGCCGCATAAACTAACCTGCATCCATGAAGAGCAGGTGGGGATGAGCACAATAGGAAAGTCGAGGTGCTCACCGCTATGCAATAATTAATATCAATAATCATGAAAACAATTTAAGTATGGTCGCAGCATGTATACGAATCAATAACCGTCCCATCTCCTATCAATAATCAATAATGAGTCTCATGTGCACACCTATAGCAATAGACTACTGCCGAACTATATACCGAACGCCTTATCTAAGGCCTTACAACGAGTGTCCGGCCAGCAGGAGCAATAATCCACCCCAATGCCAAAACTTACGCCTTGGCCTTACATACGAGGATCACCAGCCAAGGCTCACGCCCTGACTGCCAACAATAATAAAGGAGACTACCCGAAGGTACGTTCTATAGCTACGGGGATAACCGTTCGACGGCCAATATAGCTCACATCGAAGGCTACATGGTTCACATGCATACATTGATCATACCACAACAAAAGCAATTAATTAAGGCATAGCAATATCAAATAAAACCTACCTGGTATCCGTCGAAAGAAGTCACAGAAAATCGAGGGAAAAAGGTATGCCGAGAACACAGCTCTTCAAACACCTACATTACACAAAATAGTCCTATGAAAGACTATCCAAACACACGAACACTTATAACCACACTCATGCGGTATAACTCAACCACATAGTTCATAATAACATGTTTGCACAACGAACTCGCATAGTCTCAGTATTTCCAATAACAGGAGTTACAAGTATGCTATTCAGGTGATTTCAAAACCAATGGTTAGCTAACACATATTTCCACAACTTTCATGTTGATCACTTAAGCCAAAGATAGCTTTACAGCCGAGTTTAAGCATAAAACACTTAGGTCAAGCAATCTGCCAACCTAACTATTTATCAATTTACAGCACTTCACTAAAACAACAATAACTCAAGTTACAGAACTCCAAAGCATACAAACTCAAAACCTACAGAAACTACACAAGGAAAGCTACAAGTTTCAAGAAGAGTATTTTTACAAATAATCACGTTAAAGGCCTCCTTTCAGAACATGCATTCCAATCATATACACAGCCACTGTTTTAAAAATTCTGGGCATAACCCCAACTTGAAAAAATCATATAAAATCAACCAAAACTCCAAATAGCAAGATTTGAACTCCCAGTGAAAGCTTATAACATGTACTACAAATTTCATGATAGATTATATCTTTAAATTGCCACATTAGGATCATCAAAAACAGCCCAACATCATGATCCACTAATCTGCCCGAAATTACAAAAACTGCATGCATGTACAAATTCAAGAATTAGTAATAAATTCAAATCAACTCCAAATTTCGAAATTCCAAATCTCACCGAACCCTAACTCAAAATACTACAATTCTCATGATGAACACTTAACCAGGAAACAGCTACTTGATTACGAAAAACTGAGCACAACCAGCAGCTTTAACTTGAAGTTTTTTAATCAATTTTCAACCCAAATCATACACTCATGAACATAGCATCGCCACGACACATATAATCACCACATATATCTCAAATACGCGCATATAAAACATAAGGAGGTCAGCTCTAACACGATTTTACCACAAGTTCACATGATATCACATAATTCGAACATAATTCACGATAAATCAATTAATACCTACCCCTGCATAAACACTTCACAAGGGCCACAACATAACAAATAATCGAATTCATATTCCTCTTCATTATTCAACTAATATTAAGCATGCCATTAGAACTTAACCAAACCTAGGTAAATCCCAACTCATAATTTCAGCATCATAAGCACAAATATATAAATCATAGTAAAATAGGCTTAAGAGCATAACTCGCAATACTTGACAAAGCATAACATGCCTCAAATCTCTACAACAGTCACAGGGCAACCACAACCGGGCACAACGCACATCATTCAGGCACAAAGAACACATTAATCTCGGTCAAGAATGAGGTAAAGAGGTACAACCAATATACCTTTCGTCTGGAATAAATTGGGGAAAAAGATTCGGGTCTTGTCTACACAACATGGGCTCTTGTTTTTGGAAGAACGGGCCCGGTTCGCTGCAGCCGGACGCTCGATTTATTAGACTCCTGGCTGCTCCCAGTCACTCTCAGAAATGGCCCGGCCCGCTGTTGCTCTCAATCGTGCCCCGTCAGCTCCAAGTCCTCCTCTGTCCGTCAGGTGGTGCTCGAAATTTCTCTCTGTCAGAGGAGTTCTCGAGTTGTTAGCGTCCTCGAAATATCGCCAGAAACAAGAGCCTCGATTGCGACCAACCTGACCTGCTCGTCAGCCGCGGGATTCTGATCGTCGGTAGTGCCTCGAACCTGCTCCGCCGCAATAGAGCTCGTATCGCAGTGAATAGTTCGACCTCGCCGCTGGTGGCTCGACCCGCAAGAAAAGAAGACGAACCGGCTCCGAGAACAAGTCGTCGGACAGTGCTCGAGCCGTCGCTGACTTAAATTCGCCGGAAATCGAGTGTGCTCGCCAGTAATATGCTCTAATCGCCATCTGTTTGTTCTCAGTCGGGCCTCTCGGAATTTGCCGTCCCTGGATGGATTCTCCCTCAGTCGCCTGAAGTCGGCCTCTCAGAAATTCGCTCTCGTCGTGGCTGCCTGGGGAGGGCTGACGAGGGGTCGGATGAACGGACGGAAGCTGCTGCTCATCACGGCGGGCCGCTGTTGCTGTTCGGAGATGGAGTCGCGCGGCTATGGTGGATTGACAGAAAGGCTAAGATTGGCGATTGGAAACTGGGATCTGCGTCTGCTCGCGAGTTTTCCGGCGAAGAAAGACATGACGGCGTGCGGCGTCACTGGAGGAAATCGGCAGTCCTCGGCAACTTTCGGTCGGAGATCGTCTTTGCCGAGAAGAGGGAGAGGTGATGGGAAATTTTTAAAGAAGAAGGAGATGAGGAGCGGCTGATGTCTCAATTCCTTAAATAGAGAGGAATTAGAGCTTGAAGGGGAGGGAGATGCGTGGGTGAGCTCGCTGGATTTCATGGTAGCAGTTGAGCTGCGACTGATTTACCGCGAGATACGATGCTCTGATTCTCGATGAGGGAGGTGGGCCGCTACTTTGGGTAAGATGAAATGGATTGGGCCGAAACATTTTTAATCAAAATCAGGCCAAATAAAATGAACAAGCAAGGACCAAGAGTGTACTAGGAGAGGGCCAAAATACTCAACTTATTGGGCCAGAAAATATTAGTAGAAAGGGGCGGGAACTATATCCATTAGGACTGGAAAAATATTCACAATTGGACATAAAAAAAATATAACTTCCACGATCCGAATAAAATGCCGAAGAAACAGTTTCAAACGGATCGAAAACAACTTTACGCGTTTTTAGCCGTAAATTGCCGAACTAATAATTAATAATCGAATTAATTCTAATCTAAGCCATCCATATCAATAAAATAAAATCATCAATAATAATAACAAAAGAATAATGCAGACAAATCATACAAGGTAAAACGAGCAATTTAATATCAATGACGAGCAAATAATAATGATACAAGAAAATAATTAATTATAAGTAAATAAATAATTATATAAAATCCGAAAAAAATTCTAATGAACGAAACGGGGCGTTACAATCTATCCTCCTTAAAAGATTTTCGTCCTCGGAAATACTAAAAAACACGCATCCAAAAGAAAGACGACAGACTCAAACGGGAATCTCCAATCATGAGGTCCGAGTATCCCATCCGAAACTCGACCCCGCTCGCGTGAGTCTTATCGTCCTAAACTCAGAAAGCCGCACCCTCACATATAGGACCCATCCGACTCGCCCTATGCTCATATGTTTACCTTCTTGCACGGGAGGGTGATCAATCCTGACCGAGCTCAGGCGTACATCCTCTTGCAAGGGACCCAGTCCGGCTTGGCCTATACACATGAGTATCAACAATTTGCTTCATACCTAACAACACACAAGACCTCAACAGGCCGTTCGGTGTTTTGTCAACATACTCCGACTACCTCGCTATCATGGAGGACACGTGACGCCAAGTTTCAGTCTCGAATCTGAGTCACGTTAATAACTTGCTCACGATTTCATCACAGACCGTGCATCTCCATCCGAGACCACAACACGGTACCGCTAAATACAACACGACACCCTCATGCTCATACCCTCATGATGTCGACTCCACGAGTCGAACGTTACCCTTATGCACAAACATAAGGCTTAACCCAAAGCAACACGACATTCCCAATTTGCCGACTCGAGAAACTCTCAAGTAAAGCATAGGGACTCATCGACTACACTCCTTAAATAGAAATCATCGATTAAGGATTTATACACATTTTAGTGGAACTTGGGGCTCTCGGTTCAAGTTTCGGAGTAACATAAATATCTCAGCAAAAACTGGTCAATCAACGAAATGAATCGAAGGTTCGGGGTTAGTGTACTGTCACCAAGAGGCGGCACGCTCGCTGGCGCTGCATAAGCGAGGCGCTGGGACGCGTGCGTACCCACCTACTCGTAACATAAATATCTCAGCAAAAACTGGTCGATCAACGAAATGAATCGAAGGTTCGGGGTTAGTGTACTGTCACCAAGAGGCGGCACGCTCGCTGGCGCTGCATAAGCGAGGCGCTGGGACCCGTGCGTACCCACCTACTCGGAGACCAGCTGTAAGGTCGAGGCTTGGCCGCACACTCTGGCCTGGGGCGTTTGTTCGTTCGGTGATGGCGGCTGCAGTTCGCGTGCGAGTCGACATTTGGCTGCGCGCTAGCCTCACGTCTCTCAACACGGTCGTGCGTGCTCGGCCACCACTTCGCGTGGCTACACCCAGTCAGGGTCGGCGTTTGGTCCAGGTTTCCACAAGAAATTACAATTCCAGGATACTAAAAAGGAATGGTTTACCAAATTTCAAAAATTTTGGGATCAACAAAACAATTTGTATCAGGCGTTTCACAAATTTCAAAGTTTCAAAAAGTCTCAAAAATAGCAAGGTGCAAGTTCGAGTTCCAAGTCCACCAACTTTCTAAAACAACAAAATGCAATACGCCACAGATCTAACGATATGCGAAATCTCAAAAGAACTCTCATGACGATTCTCTCTAAGTTAGCGGCTTCTGTCGAGACATTATATAGATAGCTCACCTCGGCTCTTCCTACTAACAGCGTCGACCGAGACGTCAGCTCTTCCTCGGGTAGCTAATCATGTCAGCAGTCCTAAACGAGCACAACTCATCTTTCACTTCTCAGTCTTCACACTCCGGAATTTGAACGCGAAGTTCCTCCCGGGATTTTGAAAGGAGTAAAAGAACAAAAATTTCTACGATGAACCAAAATTTAGAACAAGGACGGCTCTGCACTGCGCGATGTGCTTGCTTCTGAATCGACTATCCTCCTTAAAAGACTTCTGCATAATCTTTTAAGGTGGAAAAACACTCCATCTTCCTATCGAACCGATTTGTACTTGCTTCAGCTCTTGTGCGTTTATATCGATGCCGAGAGTGAACAATTATTGTCCCCCTCGATAGAAAAATTTTGCCCTCGAGTCTTCGTGATATTTTAGCGATGGCGTTCGAACAAAAATAATCTCCTACTTCGCAAGAGAATAAAGATAAGTAGAAACAAAGAGATGCTTAATCTCACTTGAAATCAGGTTTTTCAAAACAAAGTCAATTCCCAACATAAGTTAACCAGAATTAGCTAAACTTCAAGAGAAGCAAATTTTAAAGTTTGGAAGTTTAAAATAGTTTACACAACGAATTAAAAGTAGGGGAAGATCAAACGAAATCCTCAAGTTAGAAAATTTGGTTAACGAAAAGAAGCCTCAATCACACTTCAAAATTGTTGCCGTGTGGATGGGGAAAAAAAAGAAAAAAAAGTTTGCAAGAGTATACAAGGAGACAAGAATTTAAGAAAGGCAGCACGACTGCTTCGTCTTCTTGAGTCCACGATTCATTGTTTTCATCATTGGTTCAAGCTGCTCCCTTCGTTTAAGCCTTCTCCATTAGAGATGGCTCGCGAATGGTCCTCATCCGAAGACACCAAGAAAATACATCGAGAGGACTGTTATACACAGAACTAAGCTCGATAACATCATATCGAATTTCTAAACAAACAAAACCTCAAGTTAGAACTTAACTCTATATCGCTAGAGTTCAAGTTCATACAGCTAAGGTTTGCCACTCATCTAGGATTCCATAACGTTTTAAAGCAGGAAGATAAATTCCTAAGCCCCGATTTACATATCATAATATCCCAATAATTCACATAAGCAGTTCAAAATTTACTCAAGTATTCATACCTGAGTTGGCGCGGCACGACGGAAGCGAGTGGTCATATACTACATCATAGTATGCCAGTATTTCACAGAGTTCACATTATTCACACATACCAGTCTACAGAAACCCAGACTGGCTCTGATACCAAACTGTAACGTCCCACTTTTATTTGCCCAAAATCAGAATAAATTTTTCAAATTTATTTCAATAAACACTTGAGGCGTTACTCATTTTCAAACGGTTTATCAATACTTAACAAAATTTTCAATACTCAATCATTCATCAATACTTAAACAATCATCAATACTCAATTATCAATACTCAAATTCACAATCCAATAATCAAATCATCAATAATCCAGTAATCAATAATAAAGAAAACAGTAATAGCAATATTCAGTTCTAAGATGGAAGCAATATCAATTATTAAGACCACCACTAGCATCCCTCCCGCCGTGCCGCATAAACTAACCTGCATCCATGAAGAGCAGGTGGGGATGAGCACAATAGGAAAGTCGAGGTGCTCACCGCTATGCAATAATTAATATCAATAATCATGAAAACAATTTAAGTATGGTCGCAGCATGTATACGAATCAATAACCGTCCCATCTCCTATCAATAATCAATAATGAGTCTCATGTGCACACCTATAGCAATAGACTACTGCCGAACTATATACCGAACGCCTTATCTAAGGCCTTACAACGAGTGTCCGGCCAGCAGGAGCAATAATCCACCCCGAATGCCAAAACTTACGCCTTGGCCTTACATACGAGGATCACCAGCCAAGGCTCACGCCCTGACTGCCAACAACAATAAAGGAGACTACCCGAAGGTACGTTCTATAGCTACGGGGATAACCGTTCCACGGCCAATATAGCTCACATCGAAGGCTACATGGTTTACATGCATACATTGATCATACCACAACAAAAGCAATTAATTAAGGCATAACAATATCAAATAAAACCCTCCTGGTATCTGTCGAAAGAAGTCACAGAAAATCGAGGGAAAAAGGTAAGCCGAGAACACAACTCGTCAAACACCTACATTACACAAAATAGTCCTATGAAAGACTATCCAAACACACGAACACTTATAACCACACTCATGCGATATAACTCAACCACATAGTTCATAATAACATGTTTGCACAACGAACTCGCATAGTCTCAGTATATCCAATAAAAGGAGTTACAAGTATGCTATTCAGGTGATTTCGAAACCAATGAGTAGCTAACACATATATCCACAACTTTCATGTTGATCACTTAAGCCAAAGATAGCTTTACAGCCGAGTTTAAGCATAAAACACTTAGGTCAAGCAATCTGCCAACCTAACTATTTATCAATTTACAGCACTTCACTAAAACAACAATAACTCAAGTTACAGAACTCCAAATCATACAAACTCAAAACCTACAGAAACTACACGAGGAAAGCTACAAGTTTCAAGAAGAGTATGTTTACAAATAATCACGTTAAAGGCCTTATTTCAGAACATGCATTCCAATCATATACACAGCCACTGTTTTAAAAATTCTGGGCATAACCCCAACTTGGAAAAATCATATAAAATCAACAAAACTCCAAATAGCAAGATTTCAACTCCCAGTGAAAGCTTATAACATGTACTACAAATTTTATGATAATTAAATCTTTAAATTGCCACAATAGGATCATCAAAAACAGCCCAACATCATGATCCACTAATCTGCCCGAAATTACAAAAACTGCATGCATGTAAAACTTCAAAAATTCGTAATAAATTCAAATCAACTCTGAATTTCGAAATTCCAAATCTCACCGAACCCTAACTCAAAATACTACAATTCTCATGATGAACACTTAACCAGGAAACCGCTACTTGATTACGAAAAACTGAGCACAACCAGCAGCTTTAACTTGAAGTTTTTTAATCAATTTTCAACCCAAATCATACACTCATGAACATAGCATCGACAAGACACATATAATCACCACATATATCTCAAATACGCGCATATAAAACATAAGGAGGTCAGCCCTAACACGATTTTACCACAAGTTCACATGATATCACATAATTCGAACATAATTCACGATAAATCAATTAATACCTAACCCTGCATAAACACTTCACAAGGGCCACAACATAACAAATAATCGAATTCATATTACTCTTCATTATTCAACTAATATTAAGCATGCCATTAGAACTTAACCGCACCTAGGTAAATCCCAGCTCATAATTTCAGCATCATAAGCACAAATATATAAATCATAGTAAAATAGGCTTAAGAACATAACTCGCAAGACTCGACAAAGCATAACATGCCTCAAATCTCTACAACAGTCACAGGGCAACCACAACCGGGCACAACGCACATCATTCAAGCACAAAGAACACATTAATCTCGGTCAAGAATGAGGTAAAGAGGTACAACCAATATACCTTTCGTCTGGAATAAATTGGGGAAAAAGATTCGGGTCTTGTCTACACAACATGGGCTCTTGTTTTTGGAAGAATGGGCCCGGATCACTGCAGCCAGACGCTCGATTTATTAGACTCCTGGCTGCTCCCAGTCACTCTCGGAAATGGCCCGGCCCGCTGTTGCTCTCAATCGTGCCCCATCAGCTCCCAGCCCTCCTCTGTCCGTCAGGTGGTGCTCGAAATTTCTCTCGGTCAGAGGAGTTCTCGGGTTGTTAGCATCCTCGAAATATCGCCAGAAACTAGAGCCTCGATTGCGACCAACCTGACCTGCTCGTCAGCCACGGGATTCTGATCGTCGGTAGTGCCTCGAACCTGCTCCGCCGCAACAGAGCTCGTATCGCAGTGAATAGTTCGACCTCGCCGCTGGTGGCTCGACCCGCCAGAAAAGAAGACGAACCTGCTCCGAGAACAAGTCGTCGGACAGAGCTCGAGCCATCGCTGACTGAAATGCTCTAATCGCCATCTGTTTGTTCTCAGACGGGCCTCTCGGAATTTGTCGTCGCTGGATGATTCTCCCTCAGTCGCCTGAAGTCGGCCTCTCAGAAATTCGCTCTCGTCGTGGCTGCCTGGGGAGGGCTGACGAGGGGTCGGATGAACGGACGAAAGCTGCTGTCATCACGGCGGGCCGCTGTTGCTGTTCGGAGATGGAGTCGCGCGGCTATGGTGGATTGACAGAAAGGCTAAGATTGGCGATTGGAAGCTGGGATCTGCGTCTGCTCGCGAGTTTGCCGGCGAAGAAAGACACGACGGCGTGCGGCGTCACTGGAAGAAATCGGCAGTCCTTGGCAACTTTCGGTCGGAGCTCGTCTTTGCCGAGAAGAGGGAGAGGTGATGGGAAATTTTTAAAGAAGAAGGAGATGAGGAGCGGCTGATGTCTCAATTCCTTAAATAGAGAGGAATTAGGGCTTGAAGGGGAGGGAGATGCGTGGGTGAGCTCGCTGGATTTCATGGTAGCAGTTGAGCTGCGACTGATTTACCGCGAGATACGATGCTCTGATTCTCGATGAGGGAGGTGGGCCGCTACTTTGGGTAAGATGAAATGGATTGGGCCAAAACATTTTTAATCAAAGTCGGGCAAAATAAAATGAACAAGCAAGGACCAAGAGTGTACTAGGAGAGGCCAAAATACTCAACTTATTGGGCCAGAAAATATTAGTAGAAAGGGCCGGGAACTATATCCATTAGGACTGGAAAAATATTCACAATTGGACATAAAAAAAATATAACTTCCACGATCCGAATAAAATGCCGAAGAAACAGTTTCAAACGGATCGAAAACAACTTTACGCGTTTTTAGCCGTAAATTGCCGAACTAATAATTAATAATCGAATTAATTCTAATCTAACCCATCCATATCAATAAAATAAAATCATCCATAATAATAACAAAAGAATAATGCAGACAAATCATACAAGGTAAAACGAACAATTTAATATCAATGACGAGCAAATAATAATGATACAAGCAAATAATTAATTATAAGTAAATAAATAATTATATAAAATCCGAAAAAATTCTAATGAACGAACGGGGCGTTACAATCTATCCTCCTTAAAAGATTTCCGTCCTCGGAAATACTAAAAAACACGCATCCAAAAGAAAGACAACAGACTCAAATGGGAATCTCCAATCATGAGGTTCGAGTATCCCATCCGAAACTCGACCCCGCTCGCGTGAGTCTTATCGTACTAAACTCAGAAAGGCGCACCCTCACATACAGGACCCCATCCGACTCGCCCTATGCTCATATGTTTACCTTCTTACACGGGAGGGTGATCAATCCTGACCGAGCTCAGGCGTACATCCTCTTGCAAGGGACCCAGTCCGGCTTGGCCTATACACATGAGTATCAACAATTTGCTTCATACCTAACAACACACAAGACCTCAATAGGCCGTTCGGTGTTTTGTCAGCGTACTCCGACTACCTCGCTATCATGGAGGACACGTGACGCCAAGTTTCAGTCTCGAATCTGAGTCACGTTGATAACTTGCTCACAATTTCATCACAGACCGTGTATCTCCATCCGAGACCACAACACGGTACCACTAAATACAACACGACACCCTCATGCTCATACCCTCATGATATCAACTCCACGAATCGAACGTTACCCTTATGCACTGTAACACCCCGCTTATCAGAGTAAATTTTTCGCAACTTTTACTTCGAATATACTTAATTCTTTCGAAATCTTTTGCGACTAACTCGGGATGCTACTCAAACTCATCATCTTGAAAATCCGTTTATCTTTAAACTTTTGCCTAATACTTCTTTATACATAATTAAAACAGATTTCCTTTAAACTTGCATTTAAAATACCATAATCATATTTCGCATAATGGCAAAAACTTGAAATATGAAATTCATTAAAATGCAAATTCAATACTTAATGTGCATAGCGGAAATACTTGAAAACGTGGTTAATTATACAAAATGTTATAAATGTCCGTATCAAAGCTTGTCTTCATCTGAGTCCACTATCCACACCAACACTGCTCCACTCACACCTCCTCTTCGACCTGTTACCTGAAACTAAAACTCATGGGGGTGAGTAACGAATATGGATAATCATAAACCGATATCTGATCGGTAACTTAAACTTTTCTCTTATCTTGCCGATAGTTAATCGGATACGTGTGCACACTCTGATGGATATTTCTAAGGCACCTAACGGCCTCCATCAGAACTTAGGATATAATCTCTGAGAAAAAATTAATGCCTCCTCATCCCAAGCGTAATAAACTTAAACTTTAGGATATACTCTGAGACAACTGATGGTCTCCTCATCCCATCCATATCGTACTCAATGTGATACCCATTCAGGGTCCCCACCTTTTTGTCTTTGAATTCATTTAAAAAACGATAAGTGCTGTATTGGTACTGTATCTGCAAGTTACATCAAATATAGACAAATAACTAAGTACTATGCTCATATACTCAATAAGATTTTTAGGATTTTTAACTTATCCAAATCTTATAGAAATTCATTAAACTTGCTTTTTCTCATGTTTATACTTAACTTCTCTTTTTATTTATACTTAAGGTCAATTACTTAACCTTGTATAAATCATGTCTTCATAAACATTAATATGGTATTATACTTAGCATGTCATAACTCAAATGTGAAAATAACTATATTTCACATTATACTTGATTTAAACTTAAAATATGCTTACTTTTACCAACATCATCAACATGATTTATAAACTTATCTTAACTTAATTTGATCTTTTACTCAATCAAATACTTAATTCATCATTCATCATATCTCCAAATTGGCTTATACTAACTTTTCACTTAATTAACTTGAAAGTAAAAATAATCTCAAGTCATATCATCTTTTACTCATAACATTTAATCATGATGTTAATACATCATACATAATACAATCTTTATAAAATTGTATACTCAACATATTACACCAAAAACATCATCAAATTACTCATCACTTATATGAGAATTATTCATGATCATCTCATTTTAACAACTTAAACATTTCATGAATATTCTTGCATATATACTTATCTTTAGATATATGCCTTCTTATATTCATAACTTATTCATTTCTCATCTTTAAATTATGAAATTTAACAGTCATAATCTCAACTTATAATTAGACATGTCCTCAAAATTTCATAATTTTATCATGCATATTCATCAAGTTATGAGAATTTAAATTCAATAGTGAACATAAACTTCATCTTACATGTTCATCTTTAAAAATTCATAACTCAAGCTATATTTTGCCAAATCTCTTAATTCTTGTTTTCATGTACTCCTCTTTTACATAATAATCATTCATTTAAATCATACTCTTCCAGCTTATTCATATCTTTATCAACATCTCATCAAATCAAGTACATATATCATATAATTGATCTTGAACAACTTTAACTCTTTATTTCATAGAATCAATTATAAACTTAACTTCTATATCATGATATACATACTTATAAACATGTAAACTTATTATCAAAACATGAACTTAAGCATGTAACTTTAAGATAAGTAAATTACCTCCTTCTTGCTAGAATAAAAACTTGATTTTTTACTTCAAATTCTTCACTTCTCCAAAGTTTCTACTACTTATCTCTCTTACACTCTTATATAACTTTTGGTACTTAACTTTGGTGCATAAACTCTGATTTTTAGGCCTTTATTTATAGGCACAATTTGCAAGACATCATAATTGAGTGAAGAAATTAACAAAATAAACAATACAAACTTGTAAAAATAAATATAGATAATAAATAGTATTCTTAACTTGTAAACTTCTCCAACCCATAGTCAATGCTTAGAAAGGCCCCTCTTCTGATCCTAATCTGATCTCAATGATTCAATTCTAGATTTAGTGAAAATTCTCAAATTTACGGAACCAAATTCTGACTTAAAACGAACAGTTACCGTAAAATCGAAAATTCTTACAGTTTTCGAATTTCCTTCTTTTCTTTTGGCATTTTTCCTTTTTATGCTGAAAAATTTTTCTTATCTTGTAGTCTACTAAAAATATAGAGAAAAAATAATTTAATTTATTTCTCGGAACTGAAATCGGACATATATTCCAACTACAATCGAAAACTGAAAAAAACGAAAATTCTAAAAATTTCATATTTCTCTCTAATAATTTAAATAGACTAAAATGTCTAAATAAATTTTCTCACTTCTTTGAACATTTATAACTTAAATGTTCATGGATACTTAACCGAACTCAAGACCTAACTTGTCTCGACTCATTATTCTTTTTCTTTCTCATTCAAACTAGAAATGACCAAATTTACATCCATTTAGCTAAATAAAATGGAATGTTACTTGAACTTGAACTTCATCTTAAATAACTTATTTCAATTTAATAAAAATTAATGTCTAATTAATCCTTATAACTTGATCAATACTCAAAACTAAGCAAGGCTCGAGAATCATTTGCTCGGTAATAATCTTAACTCGTAACCGAACATGCTTGGTTCGGTTCACGACTTATCTTGAACGAGTAATCAAAATATACTCGATTTTTATTATTCGTCATCTTATTATAATTAATGCCATCTTATAAATCCATTTATAAAAATAAACATACCGGATATAATTAATTACTGAACTGGCTCGATTACTAAATAAAATTTAACCGATAATACTTTCAACTTAAAGTCGAACTTTTAACTGAATAACTTAATAACTGGGCTCGAAACTAGGAACGAGCATTATTAATAAAAGTAATTAGTTCAAACTTAGAACTAAAATAATTACTTTTATTAATTACTGAATGGGATATTACATGCACAAACATAAGGCTTAACCCAAAGCAACACGACATTCCCAATTTGCCGACTCGAGAAACTCTCAAGTAAAGCATAGGGACTCATCGACTACACTCCTTAAACAGAAATCATCGATTAAGGATTCATACACATTTTAGTGGAACTTGGGGCTCTCGGTTCAAGTTTCGGGGTAACATAAATATCTCAGCAAAAACTGGTCGATCAACGAAATGAATCGAAGGTTCGGGGTTAGTGTATTGTCACCAAGAGGCGGCACGCTCGCTGGCGCTGCATAAGCGAGGCGCTGGGACGCGTGCGTACCCACCTACTCGTAACATAAATATCTCAGCAAAAACTGGTCGATCAACGAAATGAATCGAAGGTTCGGGGTTAGTGTACTGTCACCAAGAGGCGGCACGCTCGCTGGCGCTGCATAAGCGAGGCGCTGGGATGCGTGCGTACCCACCTACTCGGAGACCAGCTGTAAGGTCGAGGCTTGGCCGCACACTCTGGCCTGGGGAGTTTGTTCGTTCGGTGATGGCGGCTGCAGTTCGCGTGCGAGTCGACATTTGGCTGCGCGCTAGCCTCACGTCTCTCAACACGGTCGTGCGTGCTCGGCCACCACTTCGCGTGGCTACACCCAGTCAGGGTCGGCGTTTGGTCCAGGTTTCCACAAGAAATTACAATTCCAGGATACCAATAAGGAATGGTTTACCAAATTTCAAAAATTTTGGGATCAACAAAACAATTTGTATCAGGCGTTTCACAAATTTCAAAGTTTCAAAAAGTCTCAAAAATAGCAAGGTGCAAGTTCGAGTTCCAAGTCCACCAACTTTCTAAAACAACAAAACGCAATATGCCACAGATCTAATGATATGTGAAATCTCAAAAGAACTCTCATGACGATTCTCTCTAAGTCAGCGGCTTCTGTCGAGACATTAAATAGATAGCTCGCCTCGGCTCTTCCGACTAACAGCGTCGACCGAGACGTCAGCTCTTCCTCGGGTAACTAATCGTGTCAGCAGTCCTAAACGAGCACAACTCATCTTTCACTTCTCAATATTCACACTCCGGAATTTGAACGCGAAGTTCCTCCCGGGATTTTGAAAGGAGTAAAAGAACAAAAATTTCTACGATGAACCAAAATTTAGAACAAGGACGGTTCTGCACTGCGCGATGTGCTTGCTTCTGAATCGACTATCCTCCTTAAAAGACTTCTGCATAATCTTTTAAGGTGGAAAAACACTCCATCTTCCTATCGAACCGATTTGTACTTGCTTCAGCTCTTGTGCGTTTATCTCGATGCCGAGAGTGAACAATTATTGTCCCCCTCGAGGTTAGGTTATTCACAAATGTGGCGATAGAAAAATTTTGCCCTCGAGTCTTCGTGATATTTTAGCGATGGCATTCGAACAAAAATAATCTCATACTTCGCAAGAGAATAAAGATAAGTAGAAACAAAGAGATGCTTAATCTCACTTGAAATCAGGTTTTTCAAAACAAAGTCAATTCCCAACATAAGTTAAACCAGAATTAGCTAAACTTCAAGAGAAGCAAATTTTAAAGTTTGGAAGTTTAAAATAGTTTACACAATGAATTAAAAGTAGGGGAAGATCAAACGAAATCCTCAATTTAGAAAATTTGGTTAACGAAAAGAAGCCTCAATCACACTTTAAAATTGTTGCCGTGTGGATGGGAAAAAAAAAAAAAAAAATGTTTTCAAGAGTATACAAGAAGACAAGAATTTAAGAAAGGCAGCACGACTGCTTCGTCTTCTCGAGTCCACGATTGATTGTTTTCATCATTGGTTCAAGCTGCTCCCTTCGTTTAAGCCTTCTCCATTAGAGATGGCTCGCGAATGGTCCTCATCCGAAGACACCAAAAAAATACATCGAGAGGACTGTTATACACAGAACTCAGCTTGATAACATCATATCAAATTTCTAAACAAACAAAACCTCAAGTTAGAACTTAACTCTATATCGCTAGAGTTCAAGTTCATATAGCTAAGGTTTGCCACTCATCTGGGATTCCATAACGTTTTAAAGCAGGAGGATAAATTCCTAAGCCCCGATTTACATATCATAATATCCCAATATTTCACATAAGCAGTTCAAAATTTACTCAAGTATTCATACCTGAGTTGGCGCGGCACGACGGAAGCGAGTGGTCATATACTACATCATAGTATGCCTGTATTTCACAGAGTTCACATTATTCACGCATACCAGTCTACAGAAACGCAGACTTGCTCTGATACCAAACTGTAACGCCCTACTTTTATTTGCCCAAAAATCAGAATAAATTTTTCAAATTTATTTCAACAAACACTTGAGGCGTTACTCATTTTCAAACGGTTTATCAATACTTAACAAAATTTTCAATATTCAATCATTCATCAATACTTAAACAATCATCAATACTCAATTATCAATACTCAAATTCACAATCCAATAATCAAATCATCAATAATCCAGTAATCAATAATAAAGAAAACAGTAATAACAATATTCAGTTCTAGGCGGAAGCAATATCAATTATTAAGACCACCACTCGCATCCCTCCCGCCGTGCCGCATAAACTAACCTGCATCCATGAAGAGCAGGTAGGGATGAGCACAATAGGAAAGTCGAGGTGCTCACCGCTATGCAATAATTAATATCAATAATCATGAAAACAATTTAAGTATGGTCGCAGCATGTATACGAATCAATAACCGTCCCATCTCCTATCAATAATCAATAATGAGTCTCATGTGCACACCTATAGCAATAGACTACTGCCAAACTATATACCGAACGCCTTATCTAAGGCCTTACAACGAGTGTCCGGCCAGCAGGAGCAATAATCCACCCTGAATGCCAAAACTTACGCCTTGGCCTTACATACGAGGATCACCATCCAAGGCTCACGCCCTGACTGCCAACAATAATAAAGGAGACTACCCGAAGGTACGTTCTATAGCTACGGGGATAACCGTTCGAAGGCCAATATAGCTCACATCGAAGGCTACATGGTTCACATGCATACATTGATCATACCACAGCAAAAGCAATTAACTAAGGCATAACAATATTAAATAAAACCCACCTGGTATCCGTCGAAAGAAGTCACAGAAAATCGAGAGAAAAAGGTAAGCCGAGAACACAGCTCGTCAAACACCTACATTACACAAAATAGTCCTATGAAAGACTATCCAAACACACGAACACTTATAACCACACTCATGCGATATAACTCAACCACATAGTTCATAATAACATGTTTGCACAACGAACTCGCATAGTCTCAGTATTTCCAATAACAGGAGTTACAAGTATGCTATTCAGGTGATTTCGAAACGAATGAGCTAACACATATATCAACAACTTTCATGTTGATCACTTAAGCCAAAGATAGCTTTACACCCGAGTTTAAGCATAAAACACTTAGGTCAAGCAATCTGCCAACCTAACTATTTATCAATTTACAGCACTTCACTAAAACAACAATAACTCAAGTTACAGAACTCCAAATCATACAAACTCAAAACCTACAGAAACTACACAAGGAAAGCTACAAGTTTCAAGAAGAGTATTTTTACAAATAATCACGTTAAAGGCCTCATTTCAGAACATGCATTCCAATCATATACACAGCCATTGTTTTAAAAATTCCTGGCATAACCCCAACTTGGAAAAATCATATAAAATCAATCAAAACTCCAAATAGCTAGATTTCAACTCCCAGTGAAAGCCTATAACATGTACGACAAATTTCATGATGATTGCATCTTTAAATTGTCACATTAGGATCATCAAAAACAGCCCAACATCATGATCCACTAATCTGCCCGAAATTACAAAAACTGCATGCATGTAAAACTTCAAAAATTCGTAATAAATTCAAATCAACTCTGAATTTCGAATTCCAAATCTCACCGAACCCTAACTTAAAATAATACAATTCTCATGATGAATACTTAACCAGGAAACAGCTACTTGATTACGAAAAACTGAGCACAACCAGCAGCTTTAACTTGAAGTTTTTTAATCAATTTTCAACCCAAATCATACACTCATGAACATAGCATCGACAAGACACATATAATCACCACATATATCTCAAATATGCGCATATAAAACATAAGGAGGTCAGCCCTAACACGATTTTACCACAAGTTCACATGATATCACATAATTCGAACATAATTCACGATAAATCAATTAATACCTAACCCTGCATAAACACTTCACAAAGGCCACAACATAATAAATAATCGAATTCATATTCCTTTTCATTATTCAACTAATATTAAGCATGCCATTAGAACTTAACCGAACCTAGGTAAATCCCAGCTCATAATTTCAGCATCATAAGCACAAATATATAAATCATATTAAAATAGGCTTAAGAACATTACTCGCAAGACTCGACAAAGCATAACATGCCTCAAATCTCTACAACAGTCACAGGGCAACCACAACCGGGCACAACGCACATCATTCAGGCACAAAGAACACATTAATCTCGGTCAAGAATGAGGTAAAGAGGTACAACCAATATACCTTTCGTCTGGAAAAAATATGGGAAAAAGATTCGGGTCTTGTCTACACAACATGGGCTCTTGTTTTTGGAAGAACGGGCCCGGTTCGCTGCAGCCGGACGCTCGATTTATTAGACTCCTGGCTGCTCCCAGTCACTCTCGGAAATGGCCCGGCCCGCTGTTGCTCTCAATCGTGCCCCGTCAGCTCCTAGCCCTCCTCTGTCCGTCAGGCGGTGCTCGAAATTTCTCTCGGTCAGAGGAGTTCTCGGGTTGTTAGCGTCCTCGAAATATCGCCAGAAACTAGAGCCTCGATGGCGACCAACCTGACCTGCTCGTCAGCCGCGGGATTCTGATCATCGGTAGTGCCTCGAACCTGCTCCGCCGCAACAGAGCTCGTATCGCAGTGAATAGTTCGACCTCGCTGCTGGTGGCTCGACCTGCCAGAAAAGAAGACGAACCTGCTCCGAGAACAAGTCGTCGGACAGAGCTCGAGCCATTGCTGACTGAAATTCGTCGGAAATCGGGTGTGCTCGCCAGGAATATGCTCTAATCGCCATCTGTTTGTTCTCAGTCGGGCCTCTCGGAATTTGCCGTCGCTAGATGATTCTCCCTCAGTCGCCTGAAGTTGGCCTCTCAGAAATTCGCTCTCGTCGTGGCTGCCTGGGGAGGGCTGACGAGGGGTCGGATGAACGGACGGAAGCTGCTGTCATCACGGCGGGCCGCTGTTGCTGTTCGGAGATGGAGTCGCGCGGCTATGGTGGATTGACAGAAAGGCTAAGATTGGCGATTGGAAGCTGGGATCTGCGTCTGCTCGCGAGTTTGCCGGTGAAGAAAGACACGACGGCGTGCGGCGTCACTGGAGGAAATCGGCAGTCCTCAGCAACTTTCGGTCGGAGCTCGTCTTTGCCGAGAAGAGGGAGAGGGGATGGGAAATTTTTAAATAAGAAGGAGATGAGGAGCGGCTGATGTCCCAATTACTTAAATAGAGAGGAATTAGGGCTTGAAGGGGAGGGAGATGCGTGGGTGAGCTCGCCGGATTTAATGGTAGCAGTTGAGCTGCGACTGATTTACCGCGAGATACGATGCTTTGATGCTCGATGAGAGAGGTGGGCTGCTACTTTGGGTAAGATGAAATGGATTGGGCCGAAACAATTTTAATCAAAATCGGGCCAAATAAAATGAACAAGCAAGGACCAAGAGTGTACTAGGAGAGGGCCAAAATACTCAACTTATTGGGCCAGAAAATATTGGTAGAAAGGGCCGGGAACTATATCCATTAGGACTGGAAAAATATTCACAATTGGACATAAAAAAAAATATAACTTCCACGATCCGGATAAAATTGCGAAGAAACAGTTTCAAACGGATCGAAAGCAGCTTACGCGTTTTTAGCCGTAAATTGCCGAACTAATAATTAATAATCGAATTAATTCTTATCTAAGCCATCCAAATCAATAAAATAAAATCATACATAATAATAACACAAGAATAATGCAGACAAATCATACAAGGTAAAACGAGCAATTTAATATCAATGACGAGCAAATAATAAAGATACAAGCAAATAATTAATTATAAGTAAATAAATAATTATGTAAAATCCAAAAAAAATTCTAATGAACGAACGGGGCGATACAACTATTATATATATTTTTTAAAAGATATTTTTGTATTTAAATTGTCTCATGGCATTAAAAATTTCATGAAAATGAAATTTATATGTTTGAAAAGATATTAAAAACTTCCGTATGTACAACATTATTGATTTGATTCTTTGGCACGTAAAGTACTACATAGGTGTTCGAAGTTATCCAAAATTGCATATTATTAGTTATTAGTTAACAAATTTTAAAAAAATTAAAGGATCTTATTTATTGAACAAAATTAAAGTAGAAAAAAAAAGTAAAATTTTTTAGGAATTTTCACCCATTATTTATTTTAAATCTAATTCTAAATTTCAATTAACAAAAATTGAAAAGAATCATTAGTTAGTCCCGCAAATGACTGATTTTCCTACCAATAAACTGATTTTTTTATCAAACAAATTGATCCGATTTTTTTTTAAACCAAATAAAAAAAATCATCAATATTCCTAAAAATGCAACCAAATTTTCCTAACATTGCACCAATTTTTGTACCAAACAAATTGAATTAAAAATAATTCTAATAAAAATTTGAAATAAATTGTTAATGTTTATGCAACTGTCTCTTTCCTAAAGAAAATGATATGAACTTAACAAAAAAAATGATATGAACTTACCAAAATCTCGGTAAAACATGGTTAAGAAAAAACATAAGAATCCAAAAAAATCGATGCATTTAAATTTTGAAAAGTTGCACATATTTTTTCCTAAATAATTGGATAAGGTGACTTTAAATATCAATGATGAATCGCTTTTGTTACCAAAAAATGTGGACACAATTTTGAATGTACATCCCGTCCAAATATCAGTTTTATTTTAAAATAAAAATTGCACGTGGCTTTATCCAATTTACACAATTTTTTTGAAAGAAAAAATTATTCAATAAGATTGTTAGAATTGGTTAAGAATTATACAACTATTTGCTTCCTAAATTTGTATCCAATTTGCATGGTTTTTAAATTAATTTGTATTTAGAATTGTTTTCATAAATAATTGACACATTTTTTGCATAAGAATCTTCAAATTTGTTACAAAAAAAGATATGATTTAAATTTTAGTAAAAAAATAAAATATGATACGAAAAATATGGGATTCAAATTTTTCCATAAGAATCTCCAAATTTTTTACCAAAAAAATAGGATTTGGATTTTGTTACTAAAGATTCACATGTGTTTTTTTTAACTTTCCATTAATAGTAAGTCAAACATTACATTTATTTTGTCAAAAGTTTCTAAAAAGGTATTTTAACAACAACCTTTATATATATATATATATAGATATAGATATATATATATATATGTGTGTGTGTGTGTGTGTGTGTGTGTGTGTGTGTGGTGTCTCTATACCTCTCATCAGATAAATCGACCAGACCCGCAGCCTTTCCCATTTTTTTTTCGATCTCGCCGTCTTGAGCAGAGAAAGGAAATCGGTCGTCATTCACCATCCCTTTGTTATCCCGTCATCATCATCCTCGCTTTCCGTCACCCTCATCATCTCTTCATCTGATCGCCATCATCAACCAATCACGCCGTCGTCATTCAGTCCCTCGCGTGCAGTCCGTCATAGCCGCCAGGTTCTCCCGGTGACCTCTGTTCGCGAATTCCGGTGAGTCCCTACTCCCGCGCGAGCCCTCCTCCGACGACCAGAACCGCTGCCCTTTTCCGGCGACCCGCACAACAACGACGAGTGGCTACCCCTCCGCGCTTAGAAGCCCGTCGAGCCCACCTCCGCGAGCATCGACGATCCCTGCCACCGCCACGGCCAACCCAACTTAGACAACCTCCTCCCGCGAAGAACCTGACTCGGTGGCCCGCTTCCGGCGACCCCTCTCCCAGCAGCGACTGATAGTTTTTCGACGACCACCACAGCGACATCCCACCGGCGAGCAGTCAGGAGCCAAGGCTAGCCTCTGTTCGTGGTTGTTCAGCCGCTGAACCTCATGTCTGACCTCCCGACGCGATGCTAAGCCGTGGGCTGAGGCGAGGCTTCAGCCGGCCAGCACATCGGACGAGCAGCGGCAGTCCCGTCTGAGCCCGAGCAACGAGGTCGAACTCTTCTCGGTGAAAGCGATCAGGACTGTGTGTATTGCCGCGATCGAGGCCTATAAATTCAGATTCGATCCTGCTGCTCCTCCTCAGCACATCTGTTTCCGTCAAGCACATGCCGTTATCCTCCCCTCGCGAGCCGCGTGTTGCCGTTCGAGCCACCGTGTGCTTCCCGTTCGATCCCTCTGTTCCGTTTTTCAGAACGATTCCCGAGAAAGGTATAAGGCTCGAACCTCTGTCTCCTTAAATTATATATCGATTTTCGTTATGCGATTATTTGAGGTGTTGATCGAGTGTTTCGAATATGTATATATACGCCTTTCGTTTTTATGTGTTGAAATTGGTTCAATATATATATTTGTGTAGACGAGCTCTTCGATTTTGAGAAATCAAAAGACACATCGTCATTCGTGTTTAAGTTGTTGTGGATTGGAACCTTATATGAACCTTGGTCTTATGGTGAAGACCTCGGGCGAATTCGTCGTAAAACGAGTCCTAGATAAATTGTCGAACCCGAATAACTGCTCTTTTGATGTGGGAATTATTAAAAATTATGTACTGCTCCGTTTGCCTTGAAATTTTGAGGGTCATGTCTTCTTTAGAGCATCTGACTTGTGTTATAATTTCATGATTATAGGAGGTCTGTAGCTATTTTAATAAATTGAAATGATTTCTTGTCAGTTTCATTTAAATGCATAATAAATTGTGTAGTGACTGAAATTCTGAAATTTGAGTATGTTATGCCTCTGTTATAATTTGTATGCTGTGTAAAAGTTTTAGAATTTTTAAACTACGTTTGATATGGTAAATAATTTATTTTCTATTTCTGCAGAAATGTGTTTTATTTATCATAAATCGGTTAGCTGTTAAAAAATTCTGAAACTTGGCTGGAGTACTTGTTCTATATGTATTTTCATGCTGTTAAAAGATGTAAATATTTGGAGTTGAATTTGGTTTAGTTTTAATTGAAATTCGATAACTGCTGAAACTTGTAGGAATTTTTAAAATTCGTACAGTTAATTTCCAAGGCTGAGATTTTTATACACTGCTACGTACATGCTGAGGTCCCTTAGATAAAAATTTCATAGGTTAATTTATTCATTTGATCTGGTTGCTAATTTATGCTCGTTTTTGCCATAAACTTACTCGAGTTGTATAAAATAGCACACTTTGAGTTTGGGGCTGAAAATTGGTGGTCTTGTTTAATTCTAGGAGGTGAAATTTTGGTTAAAATTTCATAGTTAAATTCGAATGATAACCTGACTAACTTATTTTTGAAATTATAAACTAGTATTTTCGAATATACGGCTTTTGCAATAAAAACTGTAAATCGAATCGTTTTTCCGATTCTTTAAGTGTTTGACTTGGCTAATGTTTGTGTTGCATTATGTGAACTCCTATGTGTATTTGATTGAGTCTTAGTGTCGAGTCTAAGTGTTCCAACATCCACAGGACTTCACAAACAACTTAGTTGAATCAAGTTCGGCTAAGAATAATTGTGATTTCCGGTTAAGTCTGAATAGATGTTGATTATGGCATCCGAACTTAATGTAGGTGTTTGAGGAATCGAGCCCTCGACCTACCGACTTGTTTGTGTGCCTTCTCTACCGAATTACCAGGTGGATTGTTATTCTAAATTTTTTTATGTTGTAAATGTTATGAATGTAAAAATTTGTGGTATGATCAATGAATGCATGTGAATCATGTAGCCTTCGATGTCAGCTGTACCGGCCGTCGAACGGTTATCCCCGAAGCTATAGAACGTACCCGATGGGTAGTCTCCTTCATTTATGTATGGCCGTAAGACCGGGGCATGGGCCCTCGGCTGGTGATCCCCGTTTGTAAGACCAATTTGTAGGTCTTGGCCGGCGGGGTGGATTACTCCTACTGGCTGGGCATCGTTGTAAGACCAAGGCGTAGGTTTTGGCATTCGAATCGAGTATCAACAGTAGTCTATGCGTAGGTGTGCACATGAGGGTTGACTCTGGGATAGGAGATGGGATAATAAATTAATTTTTATACATGCTGCGAGCATACCTGACTTATTTATGATTACTGTTTTACATGTTGATTAATTTTACTGCATAGTGGTGAGCACTACTCTTTCCAACTGTGCTCATCCCTACCTGAAATTGACGTTTCAGGTTAAGCGATGCAGGTATGACGGCGGAGTAGAGCGAGTGGTGGTCAGTCTATGAGACCGGTGTTATTATTTGTTATGCTTCCGTGTTATGAACTGATTTATGATTTGAGAACATGGGATAATATTGAATTTATGACTTATGGATATTATGACTGAATTAATGTTAA